GCAATTGTCTACACAGACTTGAACCAGGATGGAAAGGGTGGGCATAGCTTAGGATGGAACTCCAAAGTCCCAAAGACAGTGAGGGTTTGGCAACTGATTGGATGTTGAGAGTATGGGATGGGGAGAGGCCAAGATATTTTAAAGGCTCTGAGCCAGGGCTGTTGGTAAGATGAGGATGCCATTATCTGAGAAAGAAAATACAGACAATAGTAGAAGGAGGAGAGGTGGAAAGGAAAATAGAGAGGAGTAGAAACTTGGTCACATAGATTTTCAGATGCCAACAGAATGTCATACATATATGGCAAGAAATGTAGGTGTGGTACTCAAGAGAGCCATTAGACCTAAAGGTACAAGGCAGGGGTGTTCAAATGAAGGGAATGTTTTAGACATGGCAGGAGAAACAAATTCCTGGAAATTAGGACAATGCAGTGGAAGACTAGGAACTACTGACCAAGTAATGCCTGAGTTGAAGGCTTGTGGAAAACAAGTGAAGAGAGATGGAGAAGAGTGGACAAGCAATAAAAAGAGGACCCACAGGAGTAAATGTCAGATATATCAAGGGGGAAAGATGACATGTTATGATAGGACACCCAATAACTTCCAAGACTGCAGAGTTGGGAGTCAAATGAAGATGGAGATGAGGTCACTGGGCTTAGTAATCAGGAAGTGACTGGTGACCATTAAGTGAGCAATTCAGCAGCAGGAAGTCAGATTAGTTTGTCACCAGCCTGACTGCAGTGTGTTCAGAAGTGAACAGAAAGCTGCAACGGTGGACACTCATTTTGAAAGGTCTGTGGATGATGTGGTGATGAGAAGTTAGTCAATAGAGTGGAAGCTGATCAAGTAAAGGCTGCCTGTTTTTTGTTTGAACAAGAATTATGGCTGGAGATAGGATGGGAGTGACAGAGGGGAGAGAGGGATTGAAGATACACGAAGATATGATGGCAAATGACTCAGGGTCCCTACGAGTAGGAGACTTCAGTAACTTAGAGTAAGAGATTTCACCTTGGGAAGTAAGAGGGATGAGAAGATGTTGATGAGGTTCTTGTCAGTTGGCTATGATGTCAGTACCGCAGGTCAGCTACCAAGTGGGGATCTAAGAGCAGAGTTGTGTATGTACACAAAGTGGCACTTCTGCCTACCATACAGAAAGTGGTCAACTGCAAAGAAGAGAACTGCTCAATAGTATTTAAAATCACTGAAGGTGACCAGTATCACTCTCCTGTGGAATTCATTCTGTGGCCTTCTTCAGCCAACACTTGATAGGCTGAAAGCAGCGATAGGAAAAATATGTGTGATTGAGCCTCTGCTGGGTACTGGCAGTGGGGATAAACTGGGAAGATAAGAATAAAAAGATTTTAGAGTGTTACTGAAAATAGATTACAATTCCCTTACTTAGTGGATATTTTCTGAGAACCTATTACATGCCAAGCAGTATGCAAGATGCTAAAGAGTTACTAGTGATCAAGATGCATTCCTATCAGAGATTTTAAAGTTTAATGGAAGGGGCACCGGGGTGATTCAGTCGGTTAAGTGTCTGACTCTTGATTTCAGCTCAGGTCATGATCTCAAGGTCATGAGATCGAGTCCTGTGCAGGCTCTGTGCTGAGTATAAAGCCTGCTTGGGATTCTTCCTCCCTCTGCCCCTCATCCCCACATGTGTAGGCTCTCTAAATAAATATATAAGAATAAAGTTTAATTAAAGATAAAGACAAATAAGGCATAATAATATACTTTGATGAGTGCTGTACATAATGGGAAGTAGTTCTTAGCTGGGAGCAATTCTGCATGCATACGCACATACACACATGCATGCATGAGTACTTATCTGTGGGAACTTTTAGCAATGTATGGAGATATTTCTGGTCGTCAGAACTTGGGGAAGAGGAGGTATGCTACTGGCATTTAGTGAATAGAGGCCAGGAATACTGCTAAATATCCTATGATGTGCAGGCAGGACAACCTCTAAAACAAAGAATTATGCAGTCCAAAATGTCAATAGTGCTAAGGTTGAGAAATCCTGCTATGAAGGCACATAAGAGGAACATCAAACTAGAGATTTTCTATAGACAGCAGAAGACCTCTCTAGAGATGGAGAAGATATCTAGGTAGGGAGTGGAGAAGAATTTACATGGTGTGTACAAAAATCTAGGGGGTAAAAATAACAGTGCATAAGCGGGGAATAGTAGCCAGGAGCATCAGTGGCACCACTGTTGAGGAAATACATCGTGCCAGAGATCTACAAGGTAACAGATACGCATTTTAGGATGCAGTCCTCTGAGTCAGATATTATTTCCATTTTACAGATGAGGAACAACCATGGTTCAGGGAATGAAGTAAGTTGTCCTAGGTCATGTAGTCGGTGAATGGTGTGTCTGGAGAGCTGATTCAAGGTTTGCTAACTAATAATACCCTGACCAACCCCTAAAGTCGACTGCCCTTTCAAGCTGACACTGGCTGAGTCTGTTGGAAGAGAGTAATCAGGAAGCACACGACAGACCTCAGAAGTAATGCCAAAGGGATTAAAGACTGTCCTGAAGCAGTGGGCAATCCCAGACAGATCAGAAATCAAAGACTCACAGGATCAAATCTGCCTTGAAGAAAGGTCACTTCTGGCTGCAGTGTAGGGAATAGGGTGAAGGAAGAGGATGTTGTAATTCACAAATCCATAGATTATGGTATCCTGAACAAGAAAGGTGACAGTGAGAAAAGAAGTCAAAAAAAGTTCAGAAACTAAGATTTATACTTAGTGATTGGCTGGAAGTCAAGCATGAAAGAGAGCATGACAACCAGGTTTCTGGTCAGGGCATGGTAGTAGACAGAGTTGCCATTCAAGGCATACAGAACACAGCAGCATTAGGGGAGTAAATGTAATGAGTTCAGTTGGGGATGTAAAATTCATATTTAAATGAGGGGGGAGGTGCCTGGTGGCACAGTTGGTTAAGGGTCCAACTCTTTATTTCAACTTGGGTCTTAGGGTTGGTCGGGCTCTGCTCTTAGCAGGGAGTCTCCTTGAGATTCTGGCCCTCCCATTTGTATTCTTTCTCTCTCAGATAAATAAATCTTAAAAAAAAATACTAAAATAAATAAATGGAAGGGGAAAAAGACCAGCCTAGAGACAATAGATAATATAAGACAGGAGAGGCGACTGAAGCAGCAGAGGCAGGAATGAGGACACTGAGTATGTTTAATGGGGACAGGGAGGCAGAGAGGCACTGGTCCAAGGGAGCAGATGCAGAGTTGGAGATGCCATGGACACATCAGTTCAGGTGACAGTCACTATAGAACAGGGAAAATGTTAGAGGCAAGCAAGCCGAAGTATGTTGGGACTATGGTGTTGTGTGTATTAACAAGATAGATTAGAAACCTTTCAGGATAATCAAAGGAGGAAGGTAGAGGGTGCTGTGGACTGAAGGTTTGTGACCCTCCAAAATTCATGTGTTGAAACCTCACCCCCAACATGATGGTATTAGGATGTCTGGCTTTTGGAAGCTGATTAGGTCCTTAGGATGAAGCCTGCATGAATAGGGTAGTGGCCTTAATAAAAGAGGTCCCAGAGAGCTCCCTCACCCCCTTGGCCTTGTGAGGTCACACAGCAAGAAGACAGCTATCCATGAACCAGGAAGCAAACCCTCTCTAGACACCAGATCTGCTGGCACCTTGATCTTGGACTCTCCAGACCCCAGAACTGTGAGAAATAAATGTGTGCTGTTGAAGGTAGTCAGGCTATGGTATTTTTGTTATAGCAGCCTGAGCAGACAAAGACAGGGCCAGATGCTAACACTCTTAAAAAGTGTCAAATAGCTAACAACTATTTTATAAACTCAAGTAGTAAAATGGAGGAGGTTTTGTTTTGTTTTGTTTTTTTTTAAAAAAAGTGTCAAATAGTAACATCTAGATTGAGAGTTTATACTGATTAAAATTAGGGAGAGGAGAGACAATGATGATTTCAAAGAGGCCTCATCACAGCCAGATGAAAGGAATGAGCGGCAAAGGGCTTGAGGGTCATGGTATCATCAAGAGACTGCTAGAGTTCAGTACAAATGAACAACTAGGAATATTTAAGGAGACAAAGCCTGTTAGGGAGTTTGGTCAGAATGGACATAAGTTACAGAGGCACCAGGGTGTTAGTAATGGAAGCTATGATGGTCAATGGTCTGGGAAGAGCCAGGGATGTACTGGATAGAGACAATGGACAAAGGAGTGACTGAGGAGTTGAATACAGAGGTGAAGTGCCTCATACCTTAATAAAATACTGATGCTAATATAGGGCTTAGACCAAAGCTATGCAAAGGAACTCTCTGTGATGCTGGAAATGTTCTATATGTGCACTGCCCAATACAGTGATCACTAGCTACTTGGAGTGTGGCTAGTGTGTCTGTGGAAAACACACAGCAGCTTCAGTACACTGAGGTGTAGCTCCCCAAAGACAACAGTGAGTCAACAATAGCCTCCTATGACTTAAAGTGCTTACAACACTGCTTGATCATGAAGTGGTAACTATTACTCTCACTATCATTCAATGTGTTTGATTTAGCATCTGTGGATCCAGACCCATTCCTAGCCAGAGATGCTATTCAATACACATATATTATTTATTAACTGTGGCGTGTTGCATGTCCTCAAAATTTCCCATGCACAAGGGAAAAGCATTTGTCAGTGGTCATACATGAAAATGTACAAATGGTGTTATGGTCTTCACAGCATTCAAACTTGATCAGCAAATGAGAAGATTAAGCAGGCAGGTCTCTCCAAGCACTCTCCCACATTGTGCTATATTCTCTGACTAGTGACAGAACAAGGAGATTTGCAGAGGAATAAGAATTCTACCAGTAAATCTGTTTAATTTTGCAAAGTCAACATTAACAGATTGGGATTCACTTTGTGTGTTTGGAAAAAAAAAAAAAAGAGTTTAGTTATGGAAGAGTAACCACAGAAATAATTGGAAAAGAAAAGAGGGCAATTCTGGTGTGGCTTTATTTTGGTCTTTTGAGACTTGCCTTGGTTTTCTCAAAATTGGCCTCCTCCGTCATTTGCACGGCTTGTTTCACCTGCTCATAAGCATTGGCTTCTCTCTGCTGCACATCTGTCAAGCTGCTCCTGACGGAAACCAGCGCAGACATTAAATCATCCCTTTCCCTGTCAGCGCAAAAAGAACATTTGAAACAAGCAGTGGTCAGATGATCTTGTATTCGTAAGTCAGGAAGAACAAGGCATTAACACGTAGTGGAAGGAGAGCCGGGGTGGGGTGGGCTGGCTCTGCACTCTGTAAAGCACTCCCAGAGAAAGACCCTCTGTCCTCCCTTGGCCAGGGGCAGGCAGGGCAGCCAGGAAAGGCTGAGCATTCATGGCAGGACTGCATCTGTGGGGCACAATAACTTATTGTGGGGAGGACTGCCCCACTCTAGGCTGCAGATTAAAGCCCAGAAAAGAGGAAATCAGTTTAAAAATTTGAAGGGCGGGGGGTGGGGCAGGGGAAAAAGGAATAAGGCAGAGAAGGTGGGGACTGTATGTCAAAGGAGAACATATTTACTTATATATTCAGGGCCTACTAAGGTCCTAGCAACACTGCTGACTCACCTCTCGTTTGTCTGAACAAATAGGTTCTTTCCTATTTGTTTTCCTCCACAACCCTCTTTTCCACCCTTCCCTTTCAATTAAAATCTTTCACCAACTTATGAACACATTTCTTCTTTCAATGGGTAGGACTGATGAAACCCTCAAATACCCTGGTCACGCAGAGAACATTCACGATTTAACAAAATCTCATCCCGCTGGCTTCGATCACTGCCTGGCCCCACACCCTTGTCAGCAATTCTCAGAAGTCCTCTGAGCTAATCATTTCTTGGGGATTGATGCAACCAGATGCCAAAACACTTTGGTGAGTAAAATAGCAAAGAGTCAATCTCATGGGTTAAATAAATCACATATAAGATTTTAGGATATTTGGGTTTTATCCACAGGATAAAAATGACCAGTAGACCAAAGAAAAAATGTGGTGGGAAACTTTCTATACACACAAAGCAAAAAAAAAAAAAAAAAAAAGTAAGTTGGACAGCTCTGCCTGCTATTAAAGAGCTCAAGCTCTAAACTGTGGTTTCAGATTCAGTTCAAGTAACTGCTTGCAGTTTCCTTTTTTTTTTTTTTTTTTTTTTTGCCAAGTTCTAAACTATCAGGAAAGAGCCAGCTCTGATTTTTTCTTCTTAAGTTTAGCAACCCTTAAGGAATAATTTCAAAGGTTATAATCTCTGAGTTTGAGTTGCTTTCAGAATTAACCAGTGATTCCATTTAAAAAAATCTCTTAACGATAAAATAATTTAAACTATTTGTGGTATTTGGAAAGCACTCATATTTTAAGAAATATGCAATACTGAACAAAGTTACAATTATTAGCAGTTTCATAAAAGCCTGTTTTGTTAAAAAAAGAAAAATAATTGCTTCAACTATCATAAAATTCATGAGAGCACAGTGATCTTAATTTAAGAATTTCTTGGTTTGTTTTAAATTGAGAAAAATAATTTACTCTTATTTTGTTCTAAAGGAAATGAAAAAAGGGAGTTAATTATTTTGATCAAATACAAACACAATGGTTATGTAAAGAATAGAAGAATCAAAGCAAGGTGAAATCATTCTAGGTAAGAAAAAACAGATTATTTGAAAGCCAAAGTGAAAGCCACTGAGAAAGCACTCAGTGATGCTTGGATCTGTTTGTGATGCCATGCCCTCAACTGAAGCCAAAGTTCCAACTAAAAAGAATTAACAGAAAAGCTCAGTGTTGATAGTGTGCAGACAGATCACAAAGGGAACAAAATCTAACCAATTTGCTTCTTTTTTTTTTAATTTTTATTTATTTATTTATGATAGTCACACACAGAGAGAGAGGGAGAGGCAGAGACACAGGCAGAGGGAGAAGCAGGCTCCATGCACCGGGAGCCCGATGTGGGATTCGATCCCGGGTCTCCAGGATCGCGCCCTGGGCCAAAGGCAGGCGCCAAACCGCTGCGCCACCCAGGGATCCCCCCAATTTGCTTCTTACAGGAGATTTAACACTTAGTATTATTTAATCTTTTTTCAGTATGTCCTCTTGCAGAGAGGAATATGCCACAGTAGCAGATAATCAGTGGAACAGAGGACAAAAGACCCAATGAATGAGTAGTGACTCTGCTACAGAAGGGCATCAAAAGAGGTAAAGTTCTAGTTCTAGTATCCTAGGATCTAGATTTTAAAAGTCACTAGGCTACCTAGAGTTGGAGACTAAAGGAGTTTAGTTGTTCTGGTCGGAAGGTTTTCAGACAATCAACTCATCAAGTTCAGACCACAGACAATCATCAAAGATAAACACCCCCAAATACTGATGTCTTGTTAACTCATCATTCAACAGTGAGCCCATGAAATGATTACACTAAAAATCTGTATGGCCACCTGACTGACACACTCCCAATTTTCCAGTAGAGAAATGTACTGCATGCTGTAAGATGGCCTTCAGACCACCTGGGAGGCTCTAGAGAGATGCCTAAATTGCATACATACTTATAGGTACAGGAAGCCATCTTGCTATTTTAGGATTATCTACTCAGTCACTACATTTCTGTTTTGCTTTATTTCAACTCAGTCAGCCCTTCCTAAAAGCAAGCCCTGAAAACAAACCAGCTCTGGGCATGTTGGCCTGTCTTCCTACAAGGTTTTGCCTCCAGTCTCAATTTGAGGTCACCTTTGTGATTTAGCTCCCCCTCTTCTGGCCCCATGCCATTCTGCATCATCCGGCTTTCAGAAGCAGTCAGTTCCAGCCATTGAGGAGAACCATCCAGGCAGCTACAGGTCTGCTCCAGAGCTCCCAGTATACAGGCCCAGCCCAGAGCCCAGGCCTGAGCATGCCTCTCCCAGTGGGAAGCTGTACAAATACAGATGACCTACCAATATGATTGCAAAGTGGCAGTTATCCAAATTACCATCTGCAATGGCCAGAGGTCTGTGAGTACTTCAAGAACACCATGTGTCATCAAGGAGTCTTCTGAAGCAGAGCAAGAAAGACAGCATCAACACTGTCACATTCCATGATCAAATGGTCCATGGAAGTGCAGCTAACACAGAAGTGGAGGCAAGGAGGTGGGTGCAAGTTCTGGGATGAACCAGCTAATAAGGAGCATTGAGTACTTAAGGAATTTAGTGCAACAATCAGAGCAACAAGCACTGAGAAAGTCCCTGAATAATCTGGGTCAAACGTCTATCTTTTTTTTTTTTTCCATTTATTTATTTGGCGGCAGCGGGGGGGGGGGGGTGAGGAGAACAAGCAGGGGGAAGGACAGAGGGAGAGGGAGAAGCAGATTCCCAGACAAGTAGAGAGCCTGACATGGGGCTCAATCCCAGGACTCCAGTATCATAACCTAAACCAAAAGTAGATGCTTAACTGACTGAGCCACTGGGGCACTCCTGGGTCAAATGTATAAAATAAGGAAGAGAGAGAGCTGGTATGATATACATATATGCATGAGCTTCATCTTGAAAGATAAGGTGTGTAAGAAATGCCTGAAATTCTGGTTATTCCACAGTGAGTAGCAGTTTCAAGCAGAATTAGTAAGTATTATCCCTGTCTTTTAAAAGCAAGTCTAGGAGGCTGACTACAACATTTCCTTGTTCCTCATTTCTGGGAAGTTCCTGCATAGTTTTTCAAAGCCAACTACATACAACATTGCCAAGACCCACTCGAAATTCACAAGCTGGTCTAAAGTCCCAGGAGAGTACAGTAGTAATCACTTCTCTTTTCTGAACGGTACACAGAAACTTCTCCAAGGCATGAGGGGCTACGGAAAAGGATCTAATATAAAAGTTCCATCCTGATTATCATTTGAAGGTGCTTGATCATTACGTAAGAAAGAGAGGTTACTGTCGCTCTTACCCACCCTATGACATAATGAGGCCTGAGTGTAAGTCAGAAGTTCAGAAACACTATAAGGCCTTCAAATCAACTTTTAAAATATATCCAGTGTCATCAACAGTTGTTAAGTATACTCTCCTAACACAAGGCCACAAACATACTGGTGGTCTGCCTGATCCTGTCCTTCTCAAGTGCTCCAGTTACTCTTGTCATATATTCAATACATTCCATGCTAAAAGTTCAACAAAGGAACTTACCACGCATGTCACAATGCCACATTTCAAGCAAAGGCTGGGACACTCTTTTGAGGCATCACATTTGGAATATAGTTTTTTTTTAATTCCCTCTTAGAATCCTGCAGGAAATTCTATGATAGAGGGCACTGAGGGTTTAGGCTTCTAATTATGCATAAAACTAGAAATTCAGACCTAAAAAGTGCTGGTCACCCTTCAAACTCAGCATAACTTTCAATATACAGCATTCTGAATTAATAAATTGAAAGAAGCTGAACACCAGCTTAGGCCAAAGGAATCTTATAATTTTTTTTTTTTTAAATTTATGATAGTCACACATACAGAGAGAGAGAGGCAGAGACATAGGCAGAGGGAGAAGCAGGCTCCATGCCCGGGAGCCCGACATGGGACCCGATCCCGGGTCTCCAGGATCATGCCCTGGGCCAAAGGCAGGCGTCAAACCGCTGCGCCACCCAGGGATCCCCAAAGGAAACTTATAGACAAAGGTTTCATTGATAATAAAATCAGGAGCCTTCCACTATACTCTGTTATGAAAGTAGAACATGAGTTCATGATATGCTGACAAAGCAGAAAACTGAACAGAGAAGGTTGATATTTACTTTAAAAGACTAAGAGCTAAAATTTAGGATGGAGACAAAGGAATAGATAACTAAATAAGAATCCAATTTCTAAATGACTGTCAGCCCTGAAATCAATGCAAACATTGTAGTTTCCTCTTAAAATATTACTTTCATGAACTATAAGGATAATATGGAAGGCAAGAGGGGGAAAAAACCCTGTCTTTTATTTGTTGGTTTAGTTATACCAGACCATTTAGTTAAACTCTGTATCTCTTCATCTATGTGACTTTGAATATGCTTTTTGCCCTTTTTAAATGAAGTTTTCATTACATTCTCCTTCTAAACATAATTACCAACACAGCTAAAGACCCATTTGACACATACTTTGATTTTGGTACCATATTCCACCACTCAGTGGCAATCACTGTTAAATACTGGGTGCTTATCCTTTCAAATCTTTTTCTATGCCTATGTATGAACCTGAAGAAAATACATAGTATGGTCAGGTATGGACCTTTTTAAAAAATAAAAATACAAATGAGTTTCATTTCAGATGTGTCTTTTTCATTTTTATTTTTTTCCTTCAACAATACATTGTGGAGCTTAATAGTACACATAAATCTACCTCATTCTTTTTTTCTTTTACTGTGCATAATTTATCTAAACCTCTGAAGGATATTTAGGTTGTTCACATCTAAAAGAAATACTTCTTGTTTTTCTCCACAGTTTCTGTATTCACACTTCTGACACCTTATGTGTGTTTTCAACACCAAGCAATTCTCCCAATTCTCAGTTGATATTCACTCAATTGGGACATTAATTTCCTGGAGTTAGCACAGACCCCCAGGTTAAGGCTCAGTCCCACAAGACTGTCTCCCACTTCAGGTACCAATTGCAAGTCCCAGATTGTCACCTGTACTTCTGAACAATTGGCCAGAAATCAAGGGCTCTCATGACCCGTACCTCAGTTTTGATAATCTGCTGACAGCTCAGAACTCAGGAAAGTGCTTTACTTACTATTCCCCTATTATAAAGGACACAATTCACAAACGGCTAAATGGAAGAGATGCACAGAGCAAAGTGTGTGGGAAGGGGGGTGGAGTTTCTGTGCCACCTCTGGGCATGCCACCCTCCCAGCATCTTGGTATGTTCACCAACCTAGAAGCCCTCCAAATTCCATTGTTTAGGGTTTTTATGGAGGTTCTATAGGCATGATTGATAAGATCATTAGGCATTGGTGACTGAACTCAATCTCCAGTCCCCGCCCACTCCACAGAGATTAGGGAGGAGGGCCTGAAAGTTCCAATGCTCTAATCACATGGCTGGTTGCCCTGGGAACCAGCCCCATACCCATCCTTAGTGGGTTTCCAAAAGTCATCTAATTAAGGTGAGCTCAGGTATTACTCAGAGGAGCTTGTTAAGAATAACAAAAGATGTTCCTTTCACCTTGATGTTCAAGAGCTATTTCAGGAGCAGGAAATAGAAACCAAGTATAACAAAGGATATTTCTATTGTTTTTATCATTTAGGAAATTACAGTTTAGGAGCTCTGTGCCAAGAACTAAAGATGAAGAGCAAAATATGTATTTCTTAACATATAACAATGTCACAACACCAATTACAAATAATGTTGCAAAAACATTCCCTAGAATGACTCCGTTGTATACATAAATATGTTCTTTGGGTTAGATTTTGAAATATACTTTAACTATTAATGGGTAATGCTAAATTACCCAACAAAGCAGTTATTGACTTACAGTTCCCACAAGTAGGGTGTGAAAATACTCGCTCACTCACAGCCCCCCAATTATTGTCACTATCAATCTCTTTAACTTTCACCAATTTGAGGGGTTGGTTTTTTGAAAATCTGCATTTCCCTGAATAATAACAGAGTGAATACCTTCTCTTATATTGACATCTCCCTATTTAATTGCTCACCAATTCCTTTTTTTTTTTTAAGATTTTATTATTTATTTATTTGACAGAGAGGGAGGGAGACAGCACACAAACAGGTGGAGCAGCAGAGGTGAGCAACAGACTTCCTGCAGAGCAGGGAACCTGATGGGCAGGCTCAATCCCAGGACCCTGAGATCATGACCTGAGCCAAAGACAGACACTCAACTGACTGAGCCATCTAGGTGCCCCTGCTCACCAGTTCCTATTCTTTATCCACATTGCAACTGTACAATTTGTCCTTTGTGTTTGTTTCAAAGGATGTTCTTTAGATAATATACCAATTTTTTGTTATGCAACATGCAAATATTTTCCCCAGTCTTTTAATTTCATTTGTATCATTATATCATAAGTTTCTTTTTAATGAAGCTAAATGTATAATTTCTTCCTTTATGGCATTCATTTTCCATACCATGTTCAAGATTTGACCTAGCCAGAAGCCATAAAGATAATTTCCTATATTTTCTTTTAATGCTTTTATAGTCTGAATTATATCTGGGTCTTTAAACCATCTTGAATTTGTTTTTGTGAAGTATGTTTCTATTCTTTTTGTTTCTAATGTAAACACGTAAATTTTTAATTTCTCTGAGCCTCAGTTTCCCTAGCTGCAAAAATTAGGGTAATAATATTTACCTCATAAATGCTAAAAAAGATTATTTTTAAAAAAACTGCCTGGCAGGGCAGCCCAGGTGGCTCAGTGGTTTAGCGCCTGCCTTCGGCCCAGGGCATGATCCTGGAGACCCAGGACCAAGTCCCACGTCGGGCTCCCTGCATGGAGCCTGCTTCTCCCTCTGCCTGTGTCTCTGCCTTTTTCTCTGTCTCTCATGAATAAATAAATAAATAAATCTTAAAAAAAAAAACTGCCTGGCAGAGTCCTTGGTATGTAATAAATGTTTGCCACACGGTAGTTGGATCTGAAAATATATTTAATATATACTTACTAAATTTTATAGTTATGTGAAATAAATAACAATAATTTAATAATATATTTAAAAAAATATAAGAATAATTTAATATAATATTTAACAAAAAATAGGACCATCAGCTCAGATTATAAAAACTATTCTTTAGTCCATACTACAGAAATTCAGGGTTTTTTTTAAAAGATTTATTTATTCATGAAAGACACAGAGAGAGAGAAAGAGTGAGAGAGAGAGGCAGAGACACAGGCAGAGGGAGAAGCAGGCTCCATGCAGGGAGCCCGAGCCCGATGTGGGACTTGGTCCTGGGTCTCCACGATCACACCCTGAGCTGAAGGCAGGCGCTAAACCACTGAGCCACCCAGGGATCCCAGAATTTCAGTTTTTATGTAACAACCAAAAGGTTAGTCACTTATGGAAACCATGGCTACTAGACATTTTGATTGCTTTTGGAGTATGAGAGGTACAGAGGAGTTTTAATATTTATGGGGCATTTATTATTTGTCAGGAACTCTTTTAAGCACTGTATAGGTATTCTTTCAAAGAACCCTCAAAATAACACTATTAGGTACTTCTATCTCCATTTTTAAAATGGGGAAATTGAGGTATGAGAAGTTAAGTAACTTTCATGAGGTTATATAGGCAGTTAGTAGTAGAACCAGAAAATGAATCCCCAGGCAATTTTGCTCTAGCCACAAGGCTAAGTGTCCCAGTAAAATCCCAACATGTAGGTATTATTCCTCCAAACAAGAGAAGTCCAGGAGGTATCTGAGTGGCTCAGTTGAGCGTCTGCCTTCAGCTCAGGTCAGGATCCCAGAGTTCTGGGATCAAGCCCCAAGTCAGGCTCCCTGCTCAGTGGGAAGCCTGCATCACCCTCTGCCTTTGCCTCCCTCAATCGGTCAGTGCTTGCACACTCTTGAGTTCTGCCTCTTTCTCAAATAAATAAAAAATCTTAAAAAAAAAAAGAATTCCTTTCAAATTCACTTTTGTTACAAAAAGTGCCAGATTTGCAATTATAGACTCATAGACACGAGCAGAATTGAAAAGATTATTTACTTCAATCCTCTCACTTCAAGATGAGACCGAGGCCAAGAGAGGTAAAATTACTTGTCCCAAGGACATGGTCACACACAGCTGGCAGAACTCACCTGTTCTGTCTTTAAGAAAACTCCAATGTAATAAAATAAAATCCATTTTATTTGAAGCTCAGCATCAATCCCACAAGAGACAGCATGGGGATGAAAGAGCACAATGCTCCTTTAAAGACACAATTTTCCATGTTGCAAAACCTCCGTGTGGAGAAGCATACTTACTTAGTCAGTCTTTCAATGGTCTGCACATGAACATTATTATGGGTTTGGGAGAGAACAGCTTCATGCTGAGCACATTTCAAACAAAGGCCACCAACTCGATTAGAAATATTAGTAGCAAGAAGAGACTCTTTATGCTTTAGTTGCTCTTTAAGATCTTCACAATTTTTCTGATATTCAGCTAGGTCTTTCCTGAAAAGAAGGGAAAGAAAGTTCTAGCAAGTACTAGGTACATTACTTTCACGTATTATCCCAGAGATAACTGCTACTATCACTTACGGGTGCTTACCTTATGAGGTGCTCTGTATACAATATCTAATTAATTCTTACCACAACCCTAAAACGTAAGTGTGATTATCCTAATTGACACTTTGAATAAAATGAGACTTGAATATATTAAATAATTAGCCCAAGTTCTTGTAAGATTTTAACACAGATTAGTCTGCCTCTTGATAACTGGCTCTCTGTTCAAAGGATCCCATCTCCATTACATTATATTACCCACTGATCAAGAATAAAACTCCAAATACAAATCCTAAATAAATTCTCTCAAAAAAGAAGTGAGGCAATGTAACATCCTTGAATTGAGGGAAATGCCCTATTCCAAGTGTTAACCCTTAGAAAATTACATAAAGCTCATGAGTTTTTTCCAGGAGTAACTTATTATTGCTCATTCTTCTTTAGGAGAAAAAAAAAACTTTAAAAAATTCTCTAACCACAAAGTTCTATAAAGAGCTATTTCATAAGAAAGTGGGCTGCTCTCTTCTTCTAGAAAGAAGCTATATAGAATTTACCAGCCCATGGAGATTTATAAAGTAGCAGCTATTAGCTGGAAATAAGCAGCTTGCTAAAAGAAAGTGTTGAAGAAGTGTGTATATGTGTGTGTCTATGTGTGTGTGTCTATTTGTTTTATTATAGGAGATCATCCTTGGATAAGTTCTTCTCCATGCTGACCTTTTAAGGATAAAACAACCAATGTATGGGTTGTATTTTCACCCCCATCCTTTCTCCATAAAGCTTTGGTAAAGTCAACTGGGACAATTGAGCTTCCTTGCACAGATATTCCTTTCCTACTGTGTGTGTGTGTGTGTGTGTGTGTGTGTGTGTGTGTGTGTGTGAATAAAACGTCCTAGTTTACAAAGAGGAAAATAGCCCTTAAATACTTGGACTACTGAAAGCATGTACTTTATCTCCAGCTCAATCAGTTTCGATTATACTCAGGGAGCTATAGCTCTCCTAACCAGCTATCACAGAAGAGAAACCAATAATCGAGTCATACAATACCTCCACTCTGGAATGGAGGTGGGGGGGGGGGCCTTTCAGGCAGCACTGAGGAGGTAGGAAACATCTGCAGGCAATCTAAGGGTTAAAAAAGCTAATCTAGGGCAGCCCCGGTGGTGGCGGCACAGCGGTTTAGTGCCGCCTGCGGCCCAGGGTGTGATCCTGGAGTCCCGGGATCGAGTCCCGCATCAGGCTCTCTGCATGGAGCCTGCTTCTCCCTCTGCCTGTGTCTCTGCCTCTCTCTCTCTCTCTGCATCTCTATGAATAAATAAATAAAATCTTAAAAAAAATTGAAAAAAAAGCTAATCTAATGACAGTCTGAGGTGAAAAAAAAAGCTGTTTTTGCCCTTTGCCCAAGCTATCTTCAGCATAATATGTTTTTTTTCTAAAATATCATGTAGAAAAAGTCTGACTTTCAAAGTCTTTGTAAAAGGAACTTTGGAAGCACATTCCAAAATCAAAGGGTCTCCATTACTATTTCTGTCAGTTTCAAATTCAAAACTGTGATTCAGACAGATGTGATTATTTGAAATGCCAAAAAAATTAAAAAGAAATAAATACCAGAAAGCCAGAGTTTCTGAGAGTGGTGGTTTTATCTCTTTCTTAAAGAAAATGACTCCAAATAATCTTAAGTTATACTAAAGGAAAAAGAAAGAAATAGAAGCTGCAGGGAACAAAGTCTAGTTCATTCTAAAGTAGTATTTTAATGTAATTAAAGATGGCACATTTGACTTATGAATGAGACAAAATAAGTCAAATTACCACAGTGACCTAGAAATATATTACTTTAAAAACTGAAGAATCAAAACCCAATGGAAATCACAATATAATAAAAGCAAGAAAGCAAAAAGTAGGCCATTTTATAAATGCTAGGTTTCTTCATGAAAAAATAAAAGTCTCTGCAGAAACCCTAAAACTAATCAGGATAAGGTATAAAGTGCATAAAAGCAAATTAAAATAAATGATAGTGTGCATGAAAGCCAAGAGTTCTGGTACTTAACATTACTGTGCTTATGTCTCAAATAATATGTGGCCTGAAGATTTTAAATTTTATTTCAAATTAGACTTATTAAAGTTATAAAGAGTATTTTAAAGTTTGTTTGATTGAAAAATATTTCATTGTCACTATTTAAAATAAGCTTTAACACCTCCCAAAATCAACTCCTGATATCTTCTGCCCATAATACATACTAATCGTTAATCTATAATATATAGGTTTTATTGAGATTTCTTTTAAAAAGGTCAAAAAATACTTGAAAACTTACTGTGTATATAAAAGTACCCCCTCATAGTTTCACTTCCCATGATTTGAGTTACTGAGGTCAACCAAGATTCAGAAGCAGATGATCGCCCCTCTGATGGATGATCAGAAGGTCAGTGGTAGCCTAATCATCTACGTCACAACACGTATGTCATTGCCCTCACTTTATCTCATTACACGGGGAATTTTAGATCTCATATCATCCCAAGCATCAATGCAGGACAATAAGCTATTTTGAGAGACCATATTCCCATAACTCTTTTTTTTCCCATAACTCTTAATACAGTATATTGCTGTAACTATTCTATTATTAGTTAGCTGTTTGTCTCTTACTATGCCTAATCTCTCATAAATTAAACTTTATCATAGATATGTATGTACATGGAAAACAATATATATATAGGGTTCAGTACTATCCACAGTTTCAGGCATCTCCTGAGGGTCTTTGAATGTATTTCCTACAGAAAAGAGGGGACTAATATACTCATATTCATAATATATAGAAAAATGCTCAAACTATTAGTTAAAATTTTTAAAATTAGATAAAAATACCTATAAAGAAAAAAATACTTGCTTCTAATTTGAAAACCACAATGCTTTATTTTCAGTATTTTATTTTAAAAGCGTAATTTCTACCAGAGCAGCTAGTGATTCTTAATTCCATGAGAAAACACAAATATTTCATAACTGATAAAGGGACAAAATTTATAATTCAGATCACAGTTCTCTGAGATGGGACTTCACAATTTTATGCTCCTGTTCCTTTAATACCTGAGGATATTTCTTATATTGAACATACAATGTCATCAAGTCATTCTTATATTGAGTAAACCTAGCATGTCAGCAAACATTCGAATATATTTTAGCATCATTATGCTTTTGCTATGATTTTTAAATGGATGATGATACTTTACCTTAAAAACTTCAATTGAGATTCCAGGATAACAGTCTTTTCTTCATAAGTAAGCTTTAGCCTCTCCTTTAGAAAAGAAAACAAAAAGTGTGCCTTTTCTCCATGTTCTGTGCTTTATTAGCAAATTTTAATTACTAATATTAAACTCAATTTCCTTCCTTTTACCCAAGAGGAAAAATAATGTGTCCTCTCCAGAAACACTTTCTGTAACTCACTTTTATTGAGTGTATACCCACAAAGAACTACTTAGTCATGAAATGGTTATTTGCTCCCCTCCCCATTTCTTTAAAAAATGCATACAGCAGGGGATCCCTGGGTGGCTCAGCGGTTTGGTGCCTGCCTTTGGCCCAGGGCGCGATCCTGGGGTCCCGGGATCGAGTCCCGCGTCGGGCTCCCGGCATGGAGCCCCCTTCTCCCTCCTCCTGTGTCTCTGCCTCCTTCTCAATCTCTGTGTCTATCATGAATAAATAAATAAATAAATCTTTAAAAAAAATGCATACAGCAGTTCTTACTTTTAAAAGTGTGACTCTGGGAAAAACCAATTTTAACCTATAAGGTCCATGAGGGCAAGGATCCCACACTGTGAATGCTGTGTATTGACAAACAATAAATGAGTCCTGGATGAATGATAAAAGGAAAGTTATAAATCACAGTAAATGACAGACCAAACTGATATACTAATTACAAGAGTTGCTAGTATCCTCCTCCTGTTCTTTCATTCAGCAAATATTTATTGGGTATCTAAGATGGAGATGACTTTAACCCCAAGGAGCTTATATTCTCAGAAGAAATAGAAAAACATGAGTACAGTGCAGCCCGGGTGGCCCAGCGGTTTAGTGCCACCTTCAGTTCAGGTCCTGATCCTGGAGACCCGGGATCAAGTCCTACATCGGGCTCCCTGCATGGAGCCTGCTAGCCTGCTTCTCCCTCTGCCCATGTCAATGCCTCTCTCTCTCTCTCTCTCTCTCTCTCTCTCTCTCTCTCTCTCTCTGTGTCTCTCATGAATGAATGAATGAATGAATGAATGAATGAATGAATAAATAAATAAATAAATAAATAAATAAATAAAATCTTTAAAAAAATAAAAGACAAACATGAGGACAATTTCAATTATATATAATTCACTCCAGGGAGGTATATAGAAGGTAAACTGAAATCAGAGATGCAGGAACTTGTAATTCAGCTTAAGAGAAGTAAAGAAGACTTCATGGAAGAAGCACTAATACTTAAAGGATTAACTTCCAATAGAGAAAAAGGCATAGAGGCTAGAGAAAACATGTCTGGCCAGTGAGTGGATCTGTATCCCCACAGATAAAAAGCTAGATGGAAGAGTGGATAGAGATGGGTGGGACAGGTGAGAATGGGCCATGGAAAACTAAATATATAAGACCTTTACCCAGACAATTCATGTAATCTCCATGTAGTAGAGGCACCGGGTGAACATTGAAAACTTCATCAGATTTGAACCTTAAGTCACTCTGAAGTATGGAAAAGGGAAGACCAACGAAGAAATGCACTGCAACTACAGAGGGAAGAGATAGGCAGTGAATAAACGTAATCAAACAGTAAGGAAGGAAAAGAAAGAATTTAGTAGGGAGCTATATAAGACCAAAATTGACAGAATTTTATAATTTAATAGATAATGGGGGAGAAAAATATATTAAAAATAATCCTAGGGCAGCCCCGGTGGCGCAGCGGTTTAGCGCTGCCCATGGCCCGGGGCGTGATCCTGGAGACTCTGGATGGAGTCCCATGTCAGGCTCTCTGCATGGAGCCTGCTTCTCCCTCTGCCGGCGTCTCTGCCTTTCTCTCTCTCTGTGTGTGCCTCTATGAATAAATAAATAAAATCTTAAAAAAAAAAAAAAGTCCTAAGTTTCTGCAATTGAGCAATTGGGGGAATGCTGGTGCTAAAAAAGTTTTCAGACTGGTAAAAGAAGGCAAAATGGAACCATAAAAATATTCAACTGATTCAAAAGAAGGCAAAAAAAAAAAAAAAAAAAAAAAAAAGGAGGGGGAGGTAAGAGAAAAAAAGATCAGAAAAAAAACGAAGCCAAATAGCAGGATAGTGGACTTAAACTCAAGTACATAAATAATTGCATTTAAAAGGCAGATATTGTTAGATTGAATAAGAAAGCAAAACTCAGCTATAGGTTACCTACAAGAGACCCAGATTAAATATGAAGATACAAATTTATTAAAAGTAGAAGGATAGGGATGCCTGGGTGGCTCAGTGGTTTGAATGTCTGCCTTTGGATCAGGGCATGATCCTGGAGTACTGGGATCGAGTCCCACAGCAGGCTTCCTGCGGGGAGCCTGGTTCTCTCTCTGCCTCTCTCTCTCTGGGTCTCTCATGAATAAATAAAATCTTAAAAAAAAATGTAAAAGGATAAAAAATATACCTACTCAAAAGAAAGTAGGAGTTGGCCAAAATACAAAAACCATGTGTCTGCCCCATCCCACCAAGGAGGACTCAGCAATGAAAATTTTAAAATATTTATGTCATTTATGATAATATCAAAGATAACTAATATAGAAATAATTCTACTGAACGATATGAAGACCTTTACTCAGAAAACTGTAAAAGGTTATGGACAAAAATTAAAGGTGACCTAAGTAAATAGAGTGATCCATAAGTTTAAAGGATTAGATGATATAATACCATAAAGATGTCTTCTCCCCTAAGTGACCTATAGCTTAAAGATAAACTGAGTTAAAGCCTCATAAGGGCTTTTTGGAATCTGACAAAATGATTCTATATTGTATTTGGAAATATAAAGAGCCAGAAAGAAGATGCACTCTTTCTTTCTTTCTTTCTTTCTTTCTTTCTTTCTTTCTTTCTTTCTTTCTTTCTTTCTTTCTTTCTTTCTTTTTGAGAGAGAGAGTGAGCGTGAGCAGAGGGGCAGAAGAGGAAGAGAGAATCTTAAGAGACTCTGTGCTGAGCGTGGAGCCTAACTGCCTAACTCAGGTCTCGATCTCACAACCCTGAGATTAGGATTTGAGCCGAAACCAAGAATCAGATGCTCAACCGACTACACCACCCAGGCGCTCCAGAAATAAAAAAACTCTTGAGGACAAAGTATAACGTTGGAAGATGTGGTATGTGGTCTATCAGGCATAGAGCTATAACAATCAAGAGAGGATGATAGTAGCATAAAAGCTAAAGAAATAAAACACAAGAGTCCGCACATATACGTACACCTGATTTATGACAAAGATATCAGACAAAGGACTGTCCTTCTGACAAATGGTACTGGGATATATATATATATATATCTTTTTCCATATCTTTTCCATATGGGAAAAGAACAAGAATGACCCCCTATACATCACATAAAGAAATAAAGACAGGTGGATTATAGATTTAAATGTTAAAAGTAAGACTATAAAGTTTCTAGAAGATAATATAACAGGATATCTTTATGACCTGGGCCCGGAAAACATTTTTTATATAGGGTACAGAAAGCATTAAACAATAAAGGGAAAAATCTGATAAATTAGTTTATAATAAAATTAAGAAATTTTTAGATTAGTCATGAAGAAAGAAAAAAAAGAAAAGAAAAAGTCAGAAAATATATTTACAATAATCCATAAAGAGCTTATATCCAAAATATATAAAGTAGTTAAAAAAAGAAAACAATGTCAATTACCTTAAAATAATGAATAGGATATTTGAACATGTGCCTCACAAAGAAGGACACTGATAAATACATGAAAAGATATTCAATCTCCTGAGTAATTAGAGAAATGCAAATGAAAATCACAATGAGATAGCATTATAGGTCCATCAGAAAAAACTGACAATATAATGTGTTGGGAATATGAAGAAATGACATCACTCCGATGCTGCTATAGAAGTGTAAAATGATAAAAACCACTCAGAAAGTTTACCCTAACTACTCATTGTGAACACATACGGATCCCAAGACCAACAATTCCATTTCAAGGTACATACCCAACATAAATGTGTGCCATGCACACCACCAGGTATATTAAAGAATGTCTATAGCAGCAATATTCACAATATTCTCAAACACTGAGAAAGATTTAGGACATAGGGCACACAGATGCAAGGATGGACCTCTGACACAAACTGGATACAAATGAATCCATAACAGTTATAAATACAACACTAAGCGGAGACATAAAAGAGAAATTAATTCTAATGTGAGAAACAGAAGAGCAGAAGAATGTAATCAGGGAAGGCAGAATCAGAGGGGGCATTTGAATGAAGTCTTACAGGACGGAAACCTTTTTGGGGCAGAAGATAAGGAAACATTTTAGGCCAGGATGTCTGCATAAACCACAGTCAGCAATGCAAAAAGCAATGGAGGTAGGTAATAAGTTTATGAAGTAGTTAAGTAGTGAGTGATCTGTGTGTCTACAGTAATATTGGAGAAACTGACAGAAATGAGGCCAGAAAGGTTGTTTGAGGCAAATTGTGGATGGTTCAGGAGATTGATCTTTATCCCATGGGTGCGTATTAAGTAGTTATCAGAGATTATTCAGCTGGAAAAACAATACGACTTATTTAGTCTTTCTTTCTTTTTTTTTTTTAAAGGAACTCTTTCCAAAATAGCAGAATAAAGCTTGAGTTAGGGACAGAGAAAGGAGGGAGGCTGGGGCCAGAAAGAGACTTTAGAAAACTATAAAAATAACACTGAGAGATGATAATGAGAGCTGAACTATCATCCATTCTATCTTCCCCTGAAACCCTCCATTTACAGTGTCATTTTTACATTTTCATCATTGCTGATCAATTCTACCACGTCAAATTTAATGCAAGGAAAACTTCAAACAGGAGGAAGAAGAAAGGCCTGTTACACGGATCAAAAGATTGGAAAGTATCATTTATCTGAAAATAAAATTATTTTTGACTCTGGGAAGTGAGTATATTTAAAACCAGCTGTGTTATATGAGGGAAATTCAGAAAACCAGGAGCATGTCCAGGAAAGACACATGCTCAATCCTGAGAAGACCTTAAGCTTTCAGCTCAAGCTGATCTCTAGGCTCAGAGCAAGCCCAGCTACATGGTGAAGGAATGCCCCAGCACTGAGCACACCTGCAAACACTGGCAGAGGTGGCTATTTTTCTTTTTCTTTTTTTTTTGATTTTCTATGCATATTTTTTTTGGTGGTTGTCTGTTTACTTGTTTTAGCTCCTGGCATTCATGGGAATCTCTGTCAAACATTACCTAAACATGAGCTAATGAAAGAGACTTCAGTAATCACACACAACAAAGAATAGTCTACAGAAATAATCTGGAAAAGTATCAAAACAAAAGGCACAATATAACCTTCAATAATAAAAGAGAACCATAGGGAACTGGGATATTGGATTTCCAGAGTTATCACAGTGTAATAGTTCATTTCAATGTCTACTTTTCAATCAAAAAAAATCACAAAACATACAAAGAAACAGGAAAATATGGCCCACTTAGAGGTACAAAATAAATCTACAGAAACCACCATTAAAAAAAATCTATAGATACCAGACCTACTAGACAACTCTTTAGAACAATAATCTTAAATATGCTCAAAGAGCTAAGAGAAAATATGGCCAAAGGACTAAAAGAAATAAGGAAAACAACTGTACACCTGAAACTAATATAATACTCTATGCTAACTGGAATTAAGATAAAAACTTAAAGAAAGCAAATTATAGAAGGAACTAAACAGATCTGGAGCTGAAAAGTACAACAAATGAAATAAAAAATTCCTAAAGGCATAGAAGAGCAGATATGAGTAGCAGAACAAAGAATCAGCAAACTTTAATATAGGACAGTTCAAATGACTGAGTCTGAGGAGCAGAAAAAGAAAAGAATGAATTATCATATGATCCAATCATTCCCCTTATGATTATATGCCCAAGGGAAGTGAAAGTAGGGACAAAAACAGACTTGTACATTGATGTCCATGGTAGCTTTATTCATAGGAGCCAAAAGGTGGTAACAAACTAAAATGTTCATGAGCAAATGAATGGATAAACAAAGTATGGTGTATATGTAACTGGAATATTACTCTTAAAAAGGCACAAAATTCTGATATGTGCTACACCACAGATGAACCTTGAAAACATTATGCTAGATGAAACATGTCAGACACAAAAGGACAAATATTGTTTGATTCCACATATGTCAGGTACCTAGACTAGGCAAATTTATAGAGACTGGAAAGTAGAAGAGATTGCCAAGGGTTGGGAAAGAGGGGGGTGGAAGTTATTATTTCATGGGTACATAGTTTTTGTTTAGGATGATAAAAGCTCTGGAAATGGATAGTGTTGTACACCGTGATTGTATTTAATGCAAATAAGTTGTACACTTACCATGGTTAAATGGTAAATTTTAAAATGGCGAAAACACTAAATTTAATAGTATGTATATCTACCATGATTAAAAAAAAAAAAAGAGGTACAAAAAAAGTAGATGCATAAGAGAAAAGCACCCAAATTCTTACCAGTTCTAGGTTCCATTTCTCAGTCTCACTGGCAGATGGACCCTTGACAGTATCTACATTGCCATGGGAGAATCGTTTCTTGGCAGCTTCATCCATCCCAGAGTCTTCATCTGTTGTAATCCAAGAATTCTTCAGGTTTCCCTAAAATAAAATGTATGAGTAATTACAACCTGCATTTAATTGTTAATCAATATGCCAGTTTTACGAATGGAACACTGATTCTCATCTGTGATGAAAGGAATACAAAAGCAGATTGCTTCTAAACTACACATCAAGCATGATTTTACATTTTCAGGCTATTAGGGTCATAGTCCACAAGTGTTACAAAGTCAAATTCCTATGGGTACAGGCAATAACATAAATGAGCAAAGAGGACTGGCTGCCAGTGTTTCAACAAATGAACTTGTTTCTTACTTCTCTGAAGACATATATTCTTAAAACACACAGCCCTCTCTTGATTTCATTTTCCACCTTTCATAAAGGCATGACTAATAATAATGTTAATACATACAGTGTTTACTATGTGCCAGACACTGTTTATGTGCTTCACATATATTAACTCATTTAATCACTATAACAACCCCATGAAATAAGTTCCATTGTTATATCCATTTTATAGAAGAGGAAACTGGGGTGCCTGGATGGCTCAGTCAGTTAAGTGTCTGACTCTTGATTTTGGTTCAGGTTATGATTTCAGGGTCATGAGATGGAGCCCTATGTCAGGCTCCATGCTCAGCGGGAAGTCTGTTTGAGAGTCTTTCTCTCTCCTTCTGCCCCTCCTCTCCCACCATGCTGCTCTCTTTCTCTATCTCTAAAATAAACAAATCTGTTTTTAAAAAATGAAGAGGAGAGCAGCCTGGGTGGTTCAGCGGTTTAGCGCCGTCTTTGGCCCAGGGCGTGATCCTGGAAACCTGGGATCAAGTCCCTTGTTGGGCTCCCTGCATGGAGCCTGCTTCTCCCTCTGCCCGTGTCTCTGCCTCTCTCTGTTTTTCCCTGCGTCTCTCATGAATAAATAAATAAGATCTTTTAAAAAAATAAAATAAGAAGAGGAAACTGAGTTACAGTGAGTAACATGTAAGAGTCACAGAGGTAGGAAGTAGCTAATAAACAGCAGAGCTAGGATCTGAACCCTGGCAATCTAGTTCCCTAGTCCATGCCCTGAACCTCTATGCTGTCCTGCATTTCCAGAAAAATATTTATCTTCAATAAGAAAAATAGTGCACGGAGACAAAAACAGAAATGACATGTAACTTGCATGTCAGGAACTCACAAAAGAGTGATGGGGACAAAGACCAACCATTCAAAAGAGGCAGCCACTACTCAGTTCCAGGCAATTGCTGCCATGTGTGAATGCAAACTCCCATTACAAAAAAAATCTTTTGATTTTTTAAAAGCTAACCCAGAGATCTGACTTTTCATTTGAAACACTGTTACATACTGGTTTATGGTTTGTCAAACATATAAAACATACCTACAGATTGAATTTCGTGTATACCCATTAAGTTTGCCACCTCCAGTACCCTCTCAACATTCAATGAAATATACAGCCCAAAGATCTGAGTAATTTATGTGTACAATAAGGATTGAAATATTAATTCAATTCAATAAATAATTATTGAACTCTTCTAAGGGCCAAAGTATATAGTAGTACTCACAAGAGAGGACAGGTCCCAAACTAAACTATACTGCAGTGTCATATCATGCTAGAATGAGGTAAGCTGCATTCATCCCAATTAGTATTCTGAGGGCCTATCCTATATTCTTCTGGAAGTCCAGTTTTTGCAAACATTTGGGTATGATACCTCCTACATTCAGACACTGCACTAAGAGCTTGGAGAGTAAAAATGAGCAAGACCAATCATACCCTCAACACAAACCCCTAAGCAGATAATTTCAATTTAACCAGTAAGTGCTAGGCCAGGGGGTGTATAAGGGATGATGCCAAAACAGAGTAGGGGTACTAAGAACAACCAGAGATTCAAGGAAGGTCTTCTGGGGAAATGTTGACATTGGTGGGATATCTCAGATGAAAAAGAGTGAGCTAGATGAGATGAGCATGCCAGGAAAAAAAACACATGGGGAAAGTCAAAGAGGTGTGAAAAAGTCTGGTACCTCCAGGAGACTCACACAACTCAGAATTACTAGAGATCGAAGCACAAAACAATGGACATCCAAATGTCGAGCTAGAGATTCAAGTAAGGGTCTGGAAAGTATGGTATAACAAGCTTGAACTCGATTTTGTAGGTAAGGACAAATCTCTCAAGATGTGAGTGCATCCAAAGTTGCATTAGAGAACTATGAAGAATGGCAGCACTAATTTCCTATAGAGAAACTGGAAAAAGTATGTAACTCACAGATCACTGACTCATGATATAAAATATTGTCATTCTTTGGAAAGAAGTGCTAGCCTAATTGACACTTTGTCCTTTCACAGATAACATTTAAGAACGTGAATGGTATTTGAACAAAATTTTATTTTACCTTTTTATTATTTATTCATGAGAGATCGAGAGAGAGAGAGAGAGAGAGACAGAGAGAGAGAGAGGCAGATAGGCAGAGGGAGAAGCAGGCTCCACGCAGCGAGCCCGATGTGGGACTTGATCCAGGGACTCCAGGATCATGCCTTGGGCCAAAGGCAGGCGCTAAACTGCTGAGCCACCCAGGCGTCCCTTGACCAAAATTTTTAAAACTTAATTACATTTACATCTCTGGACATCACTGAAAACCTTTGATTTCTTAATTGAGAAGAGGAGTGGTAGCGAGGGGATAAAAGTAGACATAAAAAGAAATGGCTCAGAAATTTTCTGCTTTAAAAAAAATTAAATCTTGGGCAGCCTGGGTGGCTCAGCGGTTTAGTGGCTGTCTTCAGCCCAGGGAGTGATCCTGGAGATCTGGGATCGAGTCCCATGTCAGGCTCCCTGCATGGAGCCTCTTTCTCTCTCTGCCTGTGTCTCTGCCTCTCTCTCTCTCTCTCTCTCATGAATAAATAAAATCTTTTAAAAAAATCTAAATCCTCGAATGAGTACAAATGCCAAATGTCTTTCTTTCTTTTTTTTTTTTTAAAGATTTATTTATTTTTCAAGGGTGGGGGGGGGCAATGCAAGTCCCAAGCAGACTCTCTGCAGAGCACAGAGCCCAATGTGGGGCTTGATATCACGACTCTGAGATCATGACCTGAGTCAAAACCAAAAGTTGGATGATGAACCAACTGTGCCACCCAGCTGCCCCCCAAATTTCTAATAAATAGCATATTTTAATATTATAATTTTTGAACTCTGGAGAAAAACTCTGCATGGAAAGAAATTTCACTTAAAAATGATGAAAAATGAAGATGGAAATGGTTTTTGTTTTTTAAAAATAATGATTTTTCATTTTAAAAACATAATCTGCTTGTTTCTTCAACCTTTGGGCCATAAAGTGGGCTAAGAGCTAAAAGTCATGTAGGCTACCATCCAAGTCCATGACTAAAACTCAGGAACAATAAAGGATGTCCCTCTCCTCTGGGGAGAATCTTCTACCCCATGGCAAACAAAGATAGTTGGGTTCAATACTGACAAGCTATTCCTAACTTATACAGAAAGATAGTACAACTCAAGGCTAGGCAGATGGATCTGTGAGTTAGACAGTCCCATGTTTGAGTCCTTGTTTTCCCATTTTCTAGCTTTGTGACATTAGTAGAGTTGCTTTGTTTATTTAACTGCCCTGTATGTTAATTTACTCATCTGAAAACAGACCTAACACCTGCCTTCCTTCACTACTATAAACCTAAAATAATTGAATGTAAATAAAGTGCTTGATGTAGTGCCTGCTACATAACATGTAGTCATCAGTTACTAATCATTACTATATAACTATTTTAATTATTTTTCAAAAGAAGGCATTAAGAAATACTGAATGTCTATATTCAAATCTGCCAATAGCTTTGGCAAGATCTAACCATCAGCATGCTAACAGGCTTAGTAAAAAGAGTTCAGGGGCAAAAAAAGATGTCTCTTGATATGTTTATATTTAAGATATTCTAAGAAGTTTCATTTACATGAAAACTCTGAACACAGTACTATGTATACATTGCTGAAATGCCCCAATTCACCTACACAAGCCAAAAGCAGTAGGGGTACTAATTCTGTAACAACAAAATAACGTAGAAGACTAACATTAAAATATATATCAAGGTCTCCTGACACATCTGCAACAATCATTTTGATTGTTTGCATTACATTTTCATTCACGTGAATTTTTGTTTTTAAAAACCACTCTACAACTTTGTTTTTGCCATAATTATGGCTGTATTTTTCTTCAGCAAGTTTCCTTTGTTCATATAGCAAAGCATGTGTGCTTTTACATTGTTTCCTTCCCCTTCAGTGTTACTCACTTCTCTTGCCCTCTGGTTCACTTGTCTGCCTAATTTCCTTTCTCATTTCACTTCCCCTTCTTCCACTTCTTTGCCATTGTACAAATACTGAAGTCTATGAATAAGCAAGTCACTGTTTGCTAAGTGACTATGTATTTGGAAGAAAAGCAAAAGAATATATTTATTTTTAAAAGGAGCTACTTCAAAATATTTTTCATATGGCTACATCATCTTCAAATTGACATTACAATAATAAGCAACTGAGATGGAATTTTTAACTAATAACATTGATAACAAATAATATAATATATACTCAGAAAAAAGTCTTCTGGTGGAGGGAAAACAGCTGAACACAAACTGAAATATACTGCAGAAAAATAAACTTAGCACAGTCAGCTACTTCTAAATAGGAAATTCTAACACAGAACTCAAAGATTACAAATGAGACATCGGGTCAGGTTGACAAAAAAAATTTCAAAATAAAAAATTAGAGGACACCTAGGTAAAACATTAAGACACTCATATTTTTTCTTAATCAGAACCGATTTTCCTATGACAACTAAGTCAAAACCACCAAAATCCACTGTAAAGTAAGGTTGCAACAGGCAGTATTAAAACTTCCCCATGGAACATTGAATTTGTTTCAAAAAGCAGAACAAGCTGTGATTAACTATGTCCTACAGCAAAAGAGTAAATAACATTTTTAAGGCAACAGTATCTCTGACAAGTCATAAGGAGATTTTAAGTTTAAAAACTACTTAAATATCATCACAAGAATTTTGTGTCATACAATTATAGAGATCATCAAATCCACTGTTCTTCAAAATGTAGTGCACTGGTACTGGAATTACTTAGGCAACTTGTTAAAAATTCATATTTTTAACTCAAGGATTAAACTCAAATGCACTGAATCAGACTCTCAGGGGAGGGAGCTCAGAAATCTGCACTGTCAACAAGTGTCCCAAGTGATTGTTAACTCACATTAAAGATTCAGAACAGTTAATATATGTGAATCTTCTCAAATTGCCAATAAACAGAAGATACATGAGTCCAACCACATTTGAAAGTCCCATAAAATTACTTGTGAAACACCCAGCTTTTCAGGAAAACTAACGTGCTGATCCTGACACCCTCAGGCTGGTGTTCTCTCTGCTACATCATGCTGCCAATTAGACTTATTCAGAGCACAAGGAAAGTATAGAGAAATACAACAGAAACCCAAGCTGCAGTTGGAAAGTTTCTGGATTTAACAAAGTCCTTCCTATATGACCTGCTTCCTGCTTCAGACCTACTCTTTCCCTGTGGGAAAAGCATACATGGTATGCTTGGAGAGGAAAGCAGTACAGAGATTTGGCATCACTACATCATTTCACTTGAGGATCCACTCCACCATGATGAATCTTAATGAGTGAGTAACAGCACAGTACACCTGCCAAAATTCAAGTTGAGAATTTCAGCAGTTCAGTAGGCTGTGGGAGAGAGTAGGAAGGAACATTCAAACCAGATATAATTTATGGCTTTAAGAAATGCTCACAGATATATCCAGAAGTGTTTGTTCCCTCATTGCTTCCTTTTGTCTCTGAGATTTCAGCTCTTCTTGGAGCTTTTCATTTTCTAGCTCAGCTACTTGTATCCTATTTTTCATTCCAGAGAGTTCATCCTGTAAAAAGTAGAAACAAAAATACCAAATACATTAAGTATTTTTAAGCAGTGTTGATTGCTGATTACTAGATGATCCAACATGACATAAAGCGTGGAAAACATGCTCTCTACCCATTTCTGAAATATTGTAATTATATTTAGACAAATAAGGCAACCTTCAGTTAACAACAAAAAGAAGCCTGGGAAATACAGCAAAAGGCCTGCTCATGGTCGTATCACAGAAATGTGTCCTTTCTGAGAGTTATTTTGTAGGCTTCCAGAAAGACTTTAATTAAAAGGGTTATCTAAAAGACTTTTAAGAATATGGTAGACTTTCAAACAATAAGGTAAGATATATGATTACTCATGTTCAAATGTTGACAACTTGTTGAACCTAATGGAGGATAAAAGGGATAGGCATGGAAAGTGAGACTAGTTATCCACCACTCATAACCTGATGGAGGGAAATTATGAATGAGACAGTTTGGTGGAGAGTTCTAAAAGAGATTATCCCTGGCCTTCCAGGCATAATAAAAGGAATTACAATTAAAATAGCTATTTAGTGGCATTTCACTCTCTAAAAAGAGGTTAAAAATATCAATACATTGATGGCACAATACTTTATTACCAATGTAGTAAAAAGCTATTAAACAATATAGGCAAATTCCAGTTCAATTATTTTATTCAGAATAAAGCCAAAACCTCAGTCCATATTTGAAAGTTCTAACTAAAAAAAACATTGCAGAATTCCAGTTTTTGGTCTGGCACATAATGAGCTTGGAAGACATCATTCACAACAAGAGCAAAGCTGGACAAACCAAAAAATTAGCCACTCTTCTTAAATGCATTAGAGAATTGGGGTCCCAGGGAAAACCACCATCCCCCAAATTGGACAGACAGACAGATGTTCCTAAAAATCACAATCTACCTGAGCAGAAACTTCCAGGGGAAGTACGGCTAGGAAGGAAAATGTCAAGAAAAATTGGAAGCTCAGGATAGACAAGTTTGAGGATTAAAAACTTCAGAAGGACCATCTGAAGGGGATTCCTACACTTCTGTGAATTTTATCTCTAGAACAGGTTCTTACAAGCAAAGACTATAGAAAAATCCCTCCAAGCTTCCTCTAGTAGGAGAGTAAAAGTTGCCATTTTGAAATATGCCCAAAGCATCTCTATTCTTAAAAAGGCCTGCTTCAAGAGAAAGTATTCTACCAGAGCCTAAATAGCTGGCCTTTTTCACAACCTAACTGACCTGCGGGAAGAGAAATACCCAACTCCAGCTCCTTCTAGCCTTCCCATCTCACGGTGACAGAGTGACTGAGAAGCACTTGTGATGGTCAAAGCTAAAAGGGCACAGACTCACCAAAAGACTGAGGCCTAATCACAGGGCTATAAAATGATTCCTCTACTCCTACAGCCTCCATCACGTCAGAAGAGTGCCTATAAAATAACAAGGGAATACACTAAAATAGCTGCACATCTCAGACTATAGAAGAGTTCTCAAGGGAAGCTCAAGCACAACAGGGGGGATGTAAAGGAGGACACTAGAGGAAATTTAGCCTCTGACACCTGTAGCAACACCAAACAGTAAACACAGCCTAACTCCTACCATGTCAAACACAGTATCTCACACTAAAAGCTTATTCCCTCAGTTCCTTTAAACCACTACATCATGGTCAGCATTCAACAAAAAATTAGAAAGCACACTAAAAGACTTAAAGCACAGTTTAATAAACTAAGCAAGCACAGAACCAGACTTGAATATGGCAGCAATGTTGGACTTATCAGATTGGAAGCTTAAAATAATTATGATTAATATGTTAAAGGGTTTAATGGAAAAAGTGGACTACATGAAAGGACAGATGGGAAATATAAGCAGAGATGGAAACTCTAAGAAAGAATCAAAGTGCTGGAAATCTAAAACACTATAATAGAAATCAAGAATGCTTTTGATAGTCTCATTAATAGACTGGAAACCACCAAGAAAATAATCAGGAGCTTGAAGAACTGCCAATAGAAATTTCCCAAACTAAAATGCAAAGAGAAAAAAGAATGAAAAAGAACAGAATATCCAAGAAACATGAGACAATTATAAAAGGTGACAAAAGAAAGGACAAGAAGATATATTTGAAGAAATAATGACCTAGAATTTTCTGAAATGATAACCACCAAACCACAAATCCAGGAAGCTCAGAGAACACCAGGCAGTATAAAATAAGCAAAAAATCTATACCTTAGCATATCATATTCAAACTGCAGAAAGTCAAAGACAAACAGAAAATCTCTAAGGAAATCAGAAATCAGAGTTCTCTTCAGAAGCCATGTAAGCAAGAAGACAATGGAATATTTAAAGTATTGAAAGAAAAAAAAATTCACAAACCTAGAATTCTGTATCAGGCAAATGAACCTTCAAAGGTGAGGGGAAAATAAATACTTTCTTAGATAAACAAAAATTGAGGCTATTTGTCTCCAATAGACTTTATAAGAGATGTTAAATTTTATAAGTTCATATGTACACAAAAAATAAATTAGGAAAGGAATATATGGTGATAAAACAAAATATTTTCTTTTTCTTAATCTTACCTAACATATAACAGTTTGCTCAATATCACAGTAGTAGCACTATATATAGTGATTATAGCTTATGAATAATTGAACTGAATGATAGCAATGTTATAGAGAACAGGAGGGAGGGATTGGAAACATTCTCTTATAGGGAGCTTGCCCTACCCAGGCAGTGATATAGAGCTATTTGGAAGTAGACTTAGATTTCTGATCAATGTAACTGCAAACTCAAGGACTTACAAAAAGTAAAAAAAAAAAAAAAAAAAATTTCAACTGATACGCTAAGAGAGGAAGAAAACTTCAATCACAGAACAGGCTCATTTAAACCAGATATGGCAGAAAAAGAGAGGATGGAAGGACAGACAGACAGGCAGGCAAACAAGGGCAATGAGTAAAAAACAGTAACAAATATGGTAGATGTTATCCAACTATACTGATAACCAAGTATATCAATAATAACTTAAACGTCCATGGTCTAAATACACCAATAAAAGACAGAGACTATAATAGTGAATAAAGAACATGACACAAGTATATGTTGTCTATAAGAAGCCCATCTTAAATATAAAGACACAGATAAAGTAAGGTAAATAGGGACCCCTGGGTGGCTCAGCAGTTGAGCGTCTGTCTTTGGCTCAGGGCGTGATCCTGGAGTCCCAGGATCGAGTCCCATATCAAGCTCCTTGCATGGAGCCTGCTTCTCCCTCTGCCTGTGTCTCTGCCTCTCTCTCTCTCTCTCTCTCTCTCTCTCTGTGTGTGTGTGTCTGTCTCTCAGGAATAAACAAAATCTTAAAAAAATAAATTTTCTTCAGAAAGAAGAAAAATGAAACAGACTATAAGCTCATATGTACACAAAAAATAAAAGAGAGCATCACATAATGATAAAGGGATAAATTCTCCTTGCAGACATAATAATCTTTAATGTGTATGTGCCTAATGATAGAACGTCAAAATACACGATGCAAAGACTGATAGAATTGTACAGAGAAATAGATGAATCCGTCATTTCAGTTGGAGATTTCAAAGTCACTCTGTCTGTAATTGACAGATCCAACAGATCTTGCAGATTGGCAAAATGTTGGTAAGTACATAGTTGAACTGAACAGCACCAGCCATCAACTGGATCTAATTCTCATTTATAGAATACCTCATCCAACAAGTGAATACACATTCTTCTGAAGCTAACACAGAACATTCACCAGGACATACTATATCTTGGACCTAAAAACACACCTTAACAAATTAAAAAGAATAGAAATCATAAAAAGTATGTTCTCAGACAACAGTGTAATTAAACTAGAGATCAGTAACAGAAAGATGGCTGGAACACTCCCAATATACCTGGTGATTAAACAACACTTCTAAATAACATGCAGGTCAAGGGAAAAATCTCAAGAAAAATTTTTAAAAACTTTGAACTAAACAAAAATGAAAATACAACTTATCAAGATTTGTGAGATACAACAAAATCAGTGAAAAATATTAGAAAAGAAGAAAGATTCCAAATCAATAATCTAAGCTTCCATCTAGGAAACTTTAAAGGGGAATAAACGAAATCCAAAGCAGAAAATAAAATAAAAATTAGAATAGAGATCAAAGAAATTAAAAATAGTAAATCAATAGAGAAAAGCAACAAAATCAAAAGCTGGGTCTTTGAAATGATCAATAAAACTGGTACAATTCTAGGCTCTAGTCTGGCTAACTAAGAAAAAAGGAAGGAGACACAAATTACTAATATCAGAAATGAAAGGGGGGTCATCACTACAGATTCTTAAAAGGATAACAAAGGAACACCATGAACAACTCTACACCCATAAATTTTATAATTTAGATGAAATGGACTAATTCCTTAAAAGACACAATCCTCCAAAACTCTTGGAAGGAGAAACAGTCTGAGTAAGTCCTCTATTTATAAAAGCAATTGAATCAATTGCTAATAACCTTTCAAAACAAAAAGCACCAGGCCTGCCATTGGTTCACTGGTGAATTACACCAAAACTTTAAGGAATAAATTATACCAATTCTCTACACTATCTTCTATAAAGTGTCCAAGAGAACACTTTCTGACTCATTCTATGAGACAAGCATTCCCCTAATACCCAAAGCAGGTGAAGACACTATGGGAATGAAAAACTACAGACCAATAGTATATCTCAAGAACATAAATGCAAAAAGCCTCATCAAAATATTAGCAAATCAAATACAATGATGTATAAAAAGAATTATACAACAGGACCAAATGGATTTATTCCAGATATACAAGATTGGTTCAATATTTGAAAATGAATTAATGTAATCCATCACATCAACAAGCGAGAAAAATCATTATGATCATATCAATAGATAGAAAAAGCAAGTGACAAAATCCAGTAGCCATTCAAGAGAAAAACTCTCAGACAAGAAATAAAGGAAAACATTCTCAAATTGATAATCAGCATCTACTAATAACATATAG